GCGCGGGGAATGGGCTCGGGAACAATGGGCTCGGGAACGGCCCCGGGAGCAATGGGCTCGGGGAATGGCCTCGGAACAATGGGCGCGGGGAATGGGCTCGGGAACAATGGGCTCGGGAACAATGGGCTCGGGAACAATGGGCTCGGGAACGGCCTCAGGGAGCAATGGGCTCGGGGAACGGCCTCGGGAACAATGGGACTACAATAGGCTCGGGGAATGGCCTCGGGAACAGTGGGCTCGGGGAATGGCCTCGGGAATGGGTCCAGGATGGGCCCCGGGAGCGGCCTCGGGAGCAATGGGCTCGGGGAATGGCCTCGGGAACAATGGGCTCGGGAACGGCCTCAGGGAGCAATGGGCTCGGGGAACGGCCTCGGGAACAATGGGACTGGGGAATGGCCTCGGGAACAATGGGCCTGGGGAATGGCCTCGGGAACAATGGGCTCGGGAATGGCCTCGGGAATGGGTCCAGGATGGGCCCCGGGAGCGGCCTCGGGAGCAATGGGCTCGGGAATGGCCTCGGGAACAATGGGCTCGGGAATGGTCCAGATGGGCCTCGGGAGCAATGGCCCCTCGGGAACAGCGGGCTCGGGAACAGCCCCACGGGCCGCAGAGCAGGAAGCACAGGCCGAGGCAGTGCGGAGGTGACAGCAGCTTTATTGAGGGTGGCCGGGCAGCCCCCGCCCCGCTCCCGCGGGTCTCCCCCATCCCTCCGCCACGGCAGCCCTGGTGGCCCGGGAATGGAATCTCCCGGCCCTCCGAATGGGCGCCTGAGCCAGGCGACAGCAGCCGCGCACGTGGGGACACAGCGCGTGCGGTGCCAACCCAGGGGTACAGGGACCCCTCGGTGGCACAGAGCAGCCCCCGCTGGCAGCGGGCAGATCCCTCCGGTGGTGACCGGTCCTGTCCTCGTGCTCGTCCCGAGTCCTGTGCGCACATGGGGACTCTCTGACTCTGGCTTTCCCGAGCAGCTGCCGCGGCAGCAGCAGTCCCATCCTGCAGGAGCACAGGGGGACACAGCGCTCGGTGTCGGGGTGCCCGGGGTCACAGCAGCCCCTGCAGGGTGTGACAGCAGCGTGGATGGACAAGTCCAGGGCAGGTTCTCGTGCTGGAGGTGTGCAAGCCCTCAGCACGGTGGGACACGTGCTTCCCTCCAACAGCACGGGGGCTGCAGGGGAGTCGGGGGTGTGAGGAGCCCGTGGAAGCCCAGGAGGCAGGGAGAGAGGAAGCTGATTGATTAGTGGAAGAGTGGGTGGGAAAATCATCGGAACGTGGCAGTCTGAGGCTCAGGGCCCAGCCGAGGCTCGGGGGGAGCCGAGGGACCAGGGGGGTTGGCCGTGGCGTAGGGACCTGCAGCTCAGTCCCGTCTGGCACTTTGCAGCTCTCACTTCTTCCTGTTCATGATCTGGCTGGAAATCCAGTTCATCCCATCCTAGAGGGAAGAAGGATGTGAGTGCAGGCCCTTGGGCCCTCTCCCAGCTCTGCAGAGCCCACAGGCCCCCATCTCTACCTGCACCCCTTCCCCAGACAGGGCCGAGCAGGCCTGGATCTGCCACTCCCGGTCCCGGTAGGTGTGCAGGCTCAGCCCTTCTGCAATTTCGGCCGCGGGCGCTGCAGTCACCAGGTCCTGCTTGTTGGCAAACACCAGCAGCGGGACCCCCGTGAGGGACTCGTCCTCCGTGAGCTCTGCCAGCTCCTGCCAAGAGAGAAGCTTCTCCCAGGGCTGCTGTCCTCCTCCACTGAGCCAGCCAGCAGGGGCTGGACACTTCAGCCCTCCACATGCCTCATCCCTCCTCTCTGGTGCTCATGGCAGATAAGGAAGCTGTGAGGTCTTGACATTCCAAGGGAGAGAAGCTACCAAAGGAGCTTCACCTCCTGGAGCTCCATCAGCCCAGGAGCCACATGCAGGCTACTTGAGGACTGAAATCCTCCCAGCACTGAGAGCCCTGGGCAAAGGGCAGCAGCTGCAGGAGGCTCCTGGCAGTCCCGAGCTGTCTGGCACACCCACACCACCGTCTGGTGCTGGAACAGCCGGGGCTGGCACTTGGAGTCTCACCTTCTCCTCTCAGAGCTTCATTCCCAGGGTTTGTACTACTCATAAACCTTTGTTTGGCCATATCACTAACAGGGGTGGGATGAGGGCTGGGGACTGAGGGGTCACTTTCACCAGGAACTGCCACCGCTCCTTGGAGCATCCCAGCTCAGGGGGAGCTGCTGGGCCATGGAGTGGGGCATCTCTGCCTGCTGAGATCTTGAGCCTTCCTGCAGAGCACTGCCCCATAGATTCAGAGCAGCTTTGCTTCCCCTCATCCCCAAAGAGCTGGTGCCATACAGATCTGAGCCCCAGGACCCCACAGCCACCCCTCATCCACTCATACCTGCCCTGTCTCCTCGAAACGCTTCTGGTCAGCACTGTCAATGACATAAATCTGCCGTGGGGACAAAAGGGACAGTCAGGGGCTCCTCCTTGCCCGGCTGCACAGCCCTTCTGTGGGGCCCACGCAGCGTGCACAGGCTGGGGGTGCTGCCCCACTCACCAGCAGGTCTGTGCTGCCCAGGTACTTCTTCCAGTACGGGCGGATGGAGCGCTGCCCCCCGATATCCCAAACATTCAGCTTCAAACCGTGGGACTGGACGCTCTTGATGTTGAATCCCTGCGCGGGGACACAAACCCCAGCGTCACCCAGGGGATGGGTGGGACTGCTCCCTCCGCCCCGCCCGTGGCCCCCAGCAGCCCCTACCTGTGTGGGGGTGATGGTGCTGACCTCCTCGGACGCCAGGCGCTTCAGCAGCGTCGTCTTGCCCGCGTTATCCAGCCCCAGCAGGACGATGCGGAGCTCCTGCTCCGGGGATCCCTTCAGCTTCTGGATGACAGAGAGCAGCCCCTGGGGGCAGGGAGTGCTAGGGGAGCCCTGTGGGGTGCCGGGTCCCTGGTTTGGGAGGGGGGAACCGGGCACGCTCTTGGCTTTGGGTATCTTGTGTCTGTGGCCAGACAAGTTCCCAAGGCCCAGTTCCCAAGGTGTTCAGGCTCGGGGTGGCCTCACAGCAGATCTGCCCAGCCCCAATTCCCCCCTTCCCGGGTGTGCCAGCCCTGGGACCACTCCCAGCTCCTGGGCTCGCTGGGGGGGACATGCCCCAGGCAGAGCCCTGCTCCGCCAGCCCTCCTGCCCCTCCCCTGAGAGCTGGTGCTGCGCTCCCCCCTGGAGCCGGTGGGGTGTCACCGGACCCCGCTTACCTTCTGCACATCACCCATGGTCCGGGAGTGGCTCCGGCCCGCGGCACCGCCTGGGGAGCTGCCGGGGGCTCGTCCCCGGGGCCCGCCGGTGGCTTCGTGACTGGCACGCTCCCCGTCCCCGGGGGAGGAAGAGGATTACGGGCTCCGGAATTAGCTGCTGTTCCTCCATTTACCCACAGCATTAAATAATGCCCTCGGCAAATCCTCCAGCCAGCTGTCGCCCCGCCGTCGCCTACTCCCCGGGATAAACCAGGTCCCCCCGGGATGGGGCACTGGGCACAGCACGTCCCTGTCCCCATGGGCAGGGGTCCCAGCCTGGGGGGATGCCGTGCCCAGGCTCAGGGCTGGCACAGCCTCACACCCTGGGATACCTCACGCTGAGGCAACAGCAGCACCCACAAGCTGTCCCCTTGCAGGGTGGCAGAAGAAATTGCTGAGCTTGCTTGAGGCCACATCAGCGACTGCCACAGCTCCCTGCTGCTGCCCAAGGGAAACCACCAGGCCCTGGAGCAGGTTGAGGGCTGGCTTGTCAGCAGCTGGGGATGACACAGGACAGGCGTCCAGAGGGGCTCAGACACATTCTCCAGCAGCCCACCCCCAACCCAGGTGGGGTGAGGGGCTCATCTGTTCTCCGTTTGGATTAAGTGCATTAATTAAGCGATGTCTTTGATTCCTGCATGCTGCAGTTCCATCCTCAGATCAGGTTTCCCAGCAGAGAGGTTATCCTTGTGGTGAGGACCGTGAGTCACGCACTCTTGGAGAGACATTTTTATTTATAACTCTGGTGGCAAAGCCAAGCCAAACAACACAGCCACACTCCAACAAAGCAGAGGGGAGCAGCATGATCAGCCCTCATCCCACTGCTGCTCCATGCAGTGGCAGGGGGCAGAGGAGCAGCCAGAGGTGCCACCCTCTGTTCTCCCCACCCAGAGACCCTGCCAGGTCTGTGGCTGCCTGTGGTGCTGTGCTTTTTTGCCTGCTCGTGGTGGGAAAGCTTCATTTTTTTCTGCATAGATCTGCACCCAACTTAATGTTAGGGTTCTGCTTTTGATAGGTTAATCACCCACCTTACATCCCCGTTATTAGCATTTCCCTGAGCGGGTTGCCATGGTGCTCTGCGGTTTATCCTGCGCTGTTAGTTACTGAGATTTCCTAACAAATAACCTAAAATATCCTCCACTGGTTTGTGGTTGCTGATCAACATGGAACCCCGACTTTAGGAGATGGGCAAAACTGCTTAGGCATCAGTTTGGTGACTCCAAGCTGCACGTCCACTGCTGCTCTGTGCCAGGTTCTGCCGGCACGCACAGCACAGGCAGCCCTCCCCAAACTCTGGCCCTGGGGCCAGCCCCACACCCTCTGTGACCAGGGCGAGTGGCACCAGGCTGGTGGCAGCGTGTGCTGGGCCTGCTGATGTCCCCCTGCCCCTGCACCCCCCTTCCCTGGGGAGGAGCCCCCTCAGGCTGTGGGGAGGGGGACAACGGGGTGGTGACCCCAGCTGCGCTGGGAATGGACACTGGGATGGGTTTGGGAACAGGGATGCGGATGGGGATGTGGTCACGGGTGTAGATGTGGATGGAGACAGGGATGGGGATGGGAAACAGGGATGCAGATGGGGGATGAATGGGATGGGGATGGGAAACAGGGATGCAGATGGGGGATGAATGGGATGGGGATGGGAAACAGGGATGCAGATGGGAACGGGATAACGGATGTGGATGCAGATGCAGACGGGGACGGAGAAGCGGCGGCTCCCGGCCCGGAGCTGCAGCCGGTGTCCGCCGGGGCGGTGCCGGCGGCGCGGGGCGGGCGGGCGGCCCCGCTCCCCCCGCTGCGGTCTCGGTTCCCATGGTGACACTTCCTGTGGGAGCCGAAAGCGGTAGTGTGGTAGTGCCGGGAGCGCCGGGCCGGGCCGGGCCGGGAGAGCCGCGCCGCCGGCCGGGGATGCTGCGGGGCCGCGGACCGCGCCCCTAGCGCGCCGGGCCGGGCCGGGCCGGGCCGAGCCAGGGATGCAGGGCAAGGGCAAGCTGCTGGTGGTCCACAACGGGCGCATGGTGAGTGCCCGGGCCGCCGGTCCCCATCCCCGGGGCGCCGGTCCCCACCCGCGGGGCTGCCCCGGCCGGCGGCGCGGCGGGGAGCTCGGTACCGGGTGATGGGCGGGCAGGGCGGGCCGGGGGTGTGGAGCGGATAACGGGCACACAGGGATGTGTGGAGTCAGGAACCAGGCAGGTGGGAGGGTGTGGGCATCTGGGCAGGCAGGGCAGGATGGGTATCCAAAGCAGGCGGAGCTGTGGAGGGTTTTAGGGCAGGCAGCGGGGTCGGGCTGGGTACCGGGCACGTGTGGGGCCGGCTGTGAGCAGTTTGTGGGGCTTGGGCAGCATTGTAAGGACATGTGTGGCACTGGGTGATGGACGGGGATGGGGTCACAGCAGTCAGCAGTGCTGGTGTCTGCGGGGCTGTGTGGGTGTGGGCAGCGGGGATGGACGGGAGGAGCACGGAGCTGGCAGGATAGAGGGACGTGGGGCTGGGGGAAGAGACACGGCAGAGGAATGTGGGGTGGGGTAGCAGGGAAAGGCAGGGCTGGGATAGCGGGCCTGGGATGGAGACAGTCAGGAGCTGTGTGGGGCTGGCAGGCTGGGGGGCACGGGGCGGCTGGGCCAGGGGCACCACTCGAATTTGGGCACCACTTCAGTGTGGCCCCGAGCAGGTGATGAGACACAGCACTGTGCAGCGAGTGTGTGGCTGGGTTTTGGCTTCAGAGGCTCTGCCCATCTCCCTGCTTGGCTACTCCATCCTCAGGGCTGCTGTCTGGGGTGCCCAGCGGGTGCTGCAGGATATCCTGTCCTGCTGTGCCCATGGCTGGCAGCACCTGGTCCCTGCTTTTGGGCATCTGCCCTCCGGTAGCTCCAGGCTCCAGGGAAGGAGGGAACAGGCAGTTTGCCTGCTTGGGGCTGTGGTTGTCCTTCCTTCCTTCCCTCCCCTCCTCCCCTCCTCTTCCTGTGCCGTGGAGGCTGCTTCTCTCCTCCCCTGTTGTTTGGGTGGCAGGGTTACATCTGATAGCAGCTGCCCTTTTCCAATTGCTGGCCTGGCCCTAGGCCGTGGTGAGGTAGGAGAAAGGCTGTACCCCTTTTGTAACTCTCTCCTCGCTGCCCTGGGTTGGACGTCCTGTGTCCTGCCTCTGCCACAGGGCAGGTAACACCAGAGCAGTGTTTGCTGACAGTGTCTCTTGCTCTGGGCTTGCCCTGCACTCCACCAGGCCAGCAGATGCCATGTAACCCCTCTCACCTCTCTTCTTTCCACTCCCACAGGGCCCGGCCGTGTCGGACGGAGGTAAGGCTGCTCTTTGCCCTGGGACAGGAGGCCAGCATCATCTTCAGGGGAGGGGGAAGCCCACAGGCAGCCTGGTGCCAGGGGCAGGGAGCCAGCAGGCAGCGAGGTCCTGTGTCAGCACAGGCTGTGCCATGGGCAGGTGCAGGGCTGAGCCCTCTGCCCAGCTCTGGCCGTGTCCCCCCATCCCTCCCACATGGCCCCCGGTGCCTGCCCCTCCTTTTGGCTGCTCAGCTGGCACTTTGGGGTGCTGGGGGCTGAGAGGCTTCCAGGGGCAAGGAGAAGCTGGGTACCAGCCAGGCCCAGATTCTGTAAGGGAGTCTGTCTGTTGGTCTGACTGTGCACTGGATATCTCAGATGGTTTATTTAACTGTCTTGGCCCCAGTTACTCATGGTTTAGACCACCAGGAGGATAAGCAGGGGGAGCCTGGCAAAGGAGCAGCCTGACACACCTCCTCTGTTCCTGCCAGCTTTTCCAGGACAGCACTGCTTCTACACCCTTACCTTCTCTTGCAAATGACCCCCTGCTTCCAGCTGCACACCAGTCAAACCAGTTCCAAAGCTGGGGTTGCCCCTGGGAACTTCCATCTTTCTGAACACATGGTCACCCTGGGTTTCCCCGAGGTGGGGTTTTCTCAGGGTTGGGAGCTGGAAATGACATTTTCTGTGCCCTCCACATGCTGGGATTGTCCTTCCTCTTGGCCAGAGGAATAGAGAAAGTGGGTTCAGGCACCTCTGCCCATCCTCCAAGCTTCCCTCCACTCTGTGTGCCCTCTGTGTCCCCTTCCACTCCACTTTCCCTGCTCGCTGGGTGCCCTCCCCATGGCTGTCTTACCCCAGGAGATGAGTCACAGGTGGAGTCACAGTGACACCCAGGGTGGGCACAACTGCCAGCACTGGCAGTGCCAGCTGTAGCATCCTGGTGCTCAATCCTCCAAGGATGCCACCATGATGCTCCTCAAGTTCCCTACCCAGCACTCACCAGGTCTGATCCAGATGGGGCAGATGGAGGGCTGTTGGTGCTGGGGGGTGACATTAGGGGACAGGGAGACAGCCAGAACTGACCCCTTTTCTCTCTCAGAGTTAAATGCCTCCCGGGCCCGTGGCAGCAACCACAGTGTGAACAGCCTGCCAGGCCCAGCAGCCACGTGTGGATCCAGCCAGGGCTCTGTGGTCAGCTGGGCTGAATCCTTCGAGACGCTGCTGCAGGACCGTGTGGCTGTCACCTACTTCACCGTGAGTGTCACAGCCCAGAGCTCAGCCCCTGCCCCCGTCCACTCTTGGGCACTGATTGTCCCACAGGCACTGTGCCACCATCAGCAGATCTCTCTGCCCTGCAGGAGTTCCTCAAGAAGGAGTTCAGTGCTGAAAACGTCTACTTTTGGCAGGCATGTGAGCGCTTCCAGCAGATCCCGGCCAGTGACACACAGCAGGTACCAGCTCTGGGCAGCTTTGCTCCCAGTTGCTGGGAGGGATGAGGGCAGAGCTGTCCAGCTGCATGTCCAGGGGTCCTGGCAGACCCCTTTTCTGGGGGGCTGAGCAGGCTGGGGGCTCTTGCAGAAGGAATAAGGAGATGGATGTGATGTGTATCTGAAAAGCCATGGCTGGGACTGCCTGCCCCACAGAGCAGGATGTGCTCCCTGATCCCCCAGCCCAAGACTGCCAGAGGGTGTTTCTGGGGGGACAAACAAGACCAAGGGCAGAGCTAGACAGGGGATCATGGGGACAGAGCCAGGTGGCTGCAGGGGATGGTTCCTCCCTGAGGTTATACCTCTGTGCAGACACTGGTGTGTTGTGCCCAGAGCTTGGTCCTGAAGTCCAGGTGCTGAGCTGGCCCCGGGGAAGGTTGGTTCTTCAGGGCTCAAGTGTCTCTGTGGGGTGAGCAGGGGGCTCCCCTGGTGTGGTATAGAGGAGGGGGTTGCTGGTCCCAGCCTGGCCTCCTGTCCCCTCAGCTGGCCCACGAGGCACGGCGGATCTACGATGAGTTCCTCTCCAGCCACTCGGTCAGTCCTGTGAACATTGACAAGCAGGCCTGGATTGGGGAGGACATGCTGGCCACCCCCTCCCCAGACATGTTTCGCATCCAGCAGCTCCAGGTATGGCAGCACCTGAGCCCCACCCACAGGATGGGGGCTGTGGGACCACCCCACATGTCACCCAGCATCACTGCTGTCGCTGTGGGGCAATGGCCAGAGCCTGGAGGTGTGCAGGGTTCTTAAGCACACACATCCTCCCTTTCCAGATCTTTAACCTGATGAAGTTTGACAGCTACACACGTTTTGTGAAATCCCCACTGTACCAGGCCTGCCTGCAGGCAGAGAGCCAGGGCCAGCCCCTGCCTGACCTGCGGCCCCACTCCCGCAGCAGCAGCCCCCCTCCTGACCTCAGCAAGGTGAGTGAGGGGGAAAGAGGAATGGGGACATGTCCCCGTGGTGCTGGGTCCCTTCCCTGCTGCTCAACCCCAGGCTGAGGACAGACGAGCTGTGAGGGGACCAGGGAAAGGGAAGGGGAAACCTCAGGTGTTGCCATGCTAAGATGCTGCTCAATTCACCCCAGAAGACGAAGCTGAAGCTGGGCAAGTCGCTGCCACTGGGCGTGGAGACAGCGGGCAGCAGTGCCAACCGCAGCCTTCAGCGCTCCTTCAGGAAGGGAGAGCGGCGGGAGCCGTCCTGGGCAGGTGGGTGCCCTGCTGAGCAGGACAGAGGGGCCACGCCACCCTGAGGGGTGTTCACGTCCCCACCACCGTCCCTCTGTCTGTCCTAGACGGGGGAGAAGGCAGCAGGAGCGCCATGCTGTGGAGGGAGTCCCAGGGCTCACTCAACTCCTCAGCCAGCCTGGACCTGGGCTTCTTGTCCTCGGGCAGCACAGCCGCCAGCCCCTGGACGGAGGTGAGTGGGCACCACGCCAATGCACGGCACCATGCTGCCTCTGGCTGGGCTCATCCTACCACATCCCTCCCTCAGGGCCAGCAGAAGAGCCCGGGGGGCAGCGAGGCAGAGCTGCCAGCCAAACCCATGAAGTACTGCTGCGTGTACCTGCCCGACGGCACGGCCTCGCTGGCCGCTGTCCGGCCTGGCCACTCCATCCGGGACATGCTGGCAGGGATATGTGAGAAACGTGGCTTCAGCCTCCCCGACATCAAGGTCTTCCTGGTGGGGAATGAGCAGGTAGGGCAGGCAGCGGGGAGCAGGGTGTCTGCCAGCCAAACCATCCCTGTGCCACTCTGCTGGCTCTCTCCTGATGGTTTGTCTCTTGCAGAAAGCGTTGGTGCTGGACCAGGAGTGCTCCGTGTTGGCAGACCAGGAGGTGAAGCTGGAGAACAGGATAAGCTTTGAGTGAGTGGGAGCTTTGGGGCTGATGCTTTTGGCCATCCACAGTGCCTCAAACCCAGTCCCCCAGGCAATCCAGAGTGCCCTGGCTCTGCTCCCGCCTGCAACCACCTCTTCTCCCCCTCTGCAGCCTGGAAATCTCCTCCCTCAGCAAGACCATCCGCATCACGGCCAAGTCAACCAAGCGCATCCGGGAGGCGCTGCAGCCCGTGCTGGGCAAGTACGGCGTGAGCGTGGAGCAGGCGCGGCTGCGCAGGGTGAGCTGGGGCCAGCCCCGTGCCTTGGGGGGAGCCCTGGGTTTGGTGCTCAGCCAGGGGCTGCTGGCTCTGAGCAGGTAGTGGGGAGCAGTAGTGTGTGCTGGGGGCAGCCTGTGAGCTCCTACAATCACTGTTTTGGGGATGGGCTGTGACATCCCATGGGATGGGAGAGACCAGTGGGTGTTGCCTGTGCTGGCCCAGTGGGGTCTGGCCAAGCGGGTCCTCAGCCTGGCTGCCTTTCCCGTGCCACAGTGATTGTGACACTGACTGCTGTTCCTGTTGCAGCAAGGTGAGCCAGCCATCCTGGACTTGGAGAAGCTGGTCAGCACAGTGTCTGCTCAGAAACTTGTCTTGGAAACACCAGCAGGTAAAGTGTCCTCCCTCCCAAGCCATGTCCCCTCAAGCCACATCACCCTGAAGGGCACTTAGAGGGTCAGGCTACTTTCTGCTGACCATGGCTCCCACTCCCTGGGACAGGGTCCATCCTGTCCCTGCCTGGCCAGCACCAGGATGCTGGAATGGGGCACTGAGCATCACTTCCCTTGCAGACATGCAAGTGATGGGGAGCGCTGAGGCTGCGGCTGCCCCCTCTCTGCTCCAGAGTGAGGTGAGCATCAAATCCCACCAGCCCTGGTTAGAGATGCCCTCACAGCTGCTGTGAGGTCAGTCATGGTCCACACTCATGGTCCACAGGGAAGCCGGGCCCTGCTGTGGTCCCAGCACTTGCCACGGGGCTGGGCAGTGGGTGCCAAGGCAGGAGCCAGGCTGTGGGAGGGTGATGGGGACACAGCCCAGGGCAGTGCTGCCTCCTTGCCCCGTGGCTGAGGCCGGGGCTGCTCATTGCAGGAGGGAAGCCCAACAGGAGCAGAGCCTGACACACGATGGGAGATGCCCTCCTCCTTCTCCAGGCCACAGTCTTCAGCTGCCATGAACCTCAACCGGCGCACATACGACCTGGAAGGTGAGACCTGGCATGTCTGAATCCTGAGGAGTTGGGGCAAAACACAGGCTGAGGGATGCAGAGCCCCTGGTGTGCTGGGGATGGCTGCAGGGTCCCATGAAGCTGGGAATGGGCTGTGGGGTCTTGAGGTCTGGCGTGGAGCAGGGAGAAGGTGCTGGTGCTGTGCATGGGACATGTTCAGGGTCATATCAGATGGAGAGGGCAGCTGAGGTGTTGGGACAAAGCCCCAGTGCCTGGCTCAGGTGCATGATCTGCATTTCCCCAGGGCTGGTGGAGCTGCTGAACCGTGCCCAGAGCTGCCGGGCCAACGACCAGCGTGGGCTGCTCTCTAAGGAGGACCTGGTCCTGCCTGACTTCCTGCAGCTCCCTGTGCAGGACAACAGTGCCTGTGAGGGGTCACATCAGCCCAGTGCCCCTCAGGCTGGCTCTGAGGGAAGCAGCTGCCCTCAGGAAGAGCCTGCGCTGGCTCAGCCTTCGTTGGACCACAAGCTCTGATGAGTCCTGGCACGTGGCACCCCCAGGCCATGCTGGGGTTCAAGAGGGGCCCGACAGGCCCTGCCCTGCACCGCTGACACTGCCTGGACTGCAGATCCATCCACGTCCTGTCCCAAGCTGTCATGTCGTGTCGCTGTGAGTGGCTGAGCAGCTGCCATGCCCCTCTGTGGGGCCACATCCCGGTGCACATCAAGGGACTCTTGTACATAGTTTGAACCCTCGTTGCAAAGCACTTTGCAACATCCCTGGCACTGTCCTGCCCAGTGCCTCTGCCTGCAGCAGAGCTGCCTGCCCAGCACATCCTGCCTGTGTCGGGCTGACACAGCCCCACTCGCTGTCTGGGTGGGGAAAGCTCCCTTCCAGCTGCAGGGTGTGCAGGATAGACAGGGTGGGTGGGGAGGAAAGGCAGGCTCCAGTCCTGAACTCCAGTGCTGTGGGCAGGCAGGGTCAGGAGAACGTGTGCCCGGAGCTCAGAGCCAGATCCAGTCCCTGCCCCGTGGGAACAGGGCTGCCCCGTTGTTGATTTACAAGTCCACCCTTCCTGGGGAGGGTGAGCACGGCCCTGCCAGGCTGTGCCCCGGGCAGGCTGTTACGTCTGCATTGCGTGAGCGTGGCCTGATCCTGCCACATTAGCACTGCTTGGAGCAGGGCACACGGTTCCTGCCCCGGGCAGCCAGAGGCAGAGCCAGCAGATGGTGCCAAAAAAAGCCTTCCTCCTCCCCGCCGGAGATCCTGCGTGGGCGGCTGCTGAGGGCCAGGCAGGAGCAAGTCCCCATCTCCCCCCTGCCCCATCCCCACTGGGGTGGGGGTGCTCAGCCTGCCAGGACAGCTCTGCTTGCTGCCAGAAGAATGCAGCACCTCTGGGTGCTGAGCACCTCAGCCTGCTGTGCACGTCCCCAGCCTGTGCCCAGCCTGTCGTTCCTGCCAGGAGCCTTGAGCCCCATCTGCCAGTCCTGGCTGTGCACTGCTGGTCCCCATGCCCAGCAGCCCGGTGTCCCCAGAGGTCCCAGACAGAACCTGCAATGGAGACATTCCCCCAACAGCAGCCAGGAGATCCCTCCACAGTCCATATGTGCCAGAGCCCTTCCTGCCTGTGCCTTGGGTAACCACTCCATCACCACTGCCTGGCCAGAGGCAGAGGGGTGACCCAGGACCCCCAGGCTTGCCCAGAGATGGGGGCATGGCCACCCAGCCCTATGCTGCCACAGCCAGCTGCAGCCCTGTGGCCTTAGAGCCCCCTGTGTCTCTGTGATGCTGCTCAGTTCTGTCTGTGCTGTGGAACCAGGGGAAATAAAGAGCATTGCCTGGATGCACCTTTCTTTCCTTCCTCTGTCATCAGGGCTGGATTGTGCTTTTCCCAGCAGCAATGCCCCCTCAACCCCCCTCTCCCGCACAGAGCCTTCTTAGGGCCATGGCAGAGCTGAGGCCAGCCCTGGGCTGCCGTGCCACCCTGACTGGCAGCAAGGGGCAGTGCCAGGATCTTGTTTACCCGGCACTGCTGGTGGAGTAGGGGAAGCTGCAGGGCCGGCATGGCCAAGGACTTCAGCCCCGACCCTGTCAATGAGTGACAGCCAGAGCTGCCAGGGCCTCACTGGGTTAATGATTGTGGGGGCAGCTGGCCAAGAGCCCCTGGGCACGGGGCAAGTGCGGACACCAACCCCCTGCACACTGGCTGCACCCCCTGGACAGAAGAGTCCCCAGGCCCTGCAGAGGCAGGACATGTCCCCTGCTGTGCCAGCTCCCGGGCATTCAGCTCCATCAGCCTGTGACTCAGTGGAGGTGGCTCAGTGATGCTCCAGCAGGGGCACAGGTGTCCCCGGGCTGTCCCTGAGTGCCCTGGAGTACCCAAGGGATCTTCCCTTACATTTGCACCTGGCTCATCGTGGTGATGGGTGCTGGCAGTGCTTCATCCTGGGGAAATGGGGATTTGGCAACAGAACACCTCTTGTGCTCACTCCCACAGGCACAGGGCTGGAGGAGCCTTTGGCCACTGTCTCTGCCCTGGGCAGTTGTGGACATAAGCTTGCTGGGTGTCCTGTGGGTGGATGGAAACTTGGCTGGAGGTGTGTAAGGAGCAGGTAATGATAAACAGGGCTGAGGAGGTGGTGACGGCAGCGCTGGCCTCGCTCCTCTCCTGCTCACCCACCGCACATGCTGGGGAGATGTGGTGCCAGGGAGATGCAGGCTCTGCCCCACACAGCCCTCAGCACTGCTGGCTGCCCCACACCGAGCTGCTGGCACGGGCAGAGCCCGGCTGTGTGCCACCATCACCACCAGTGGCAGGACATGGAGATCACAGCAGTGTTGGCATCAGCCATCTCCAACACTCTGGAAGTGAGGACATTGTGCCCTGGGCAGAGCTGATCCCTCATGGCTGATGCTGTGATGGCACTGAGGTGAGCATGGCCTCACCTCTGGCTGGTGATACCCCAGCAGCACCAGCACCAACCCCTTCTCCTCCTCCTCTTCCTCTTGTGCAGTGGATGAACCACCTGGCACCAAATGTCGGAGAGCTGAGGCTCCTCCAGCATCACCTCTCGGGCACTGGGCTCCAGCAAGTGCCCTGGCCCGCAGCAGCCGCGGGATGTGGCGGGGGTTACCCATTAACTGCAGGAATTTCTGGGGAGGAGGTGAGCGGCGAGAGGAGGCGAGGGGCGACACGGGGCTCCTTAGACTTTGCTCTTGGCGTGTGTATAAAGGGCCGTGGTGCCCCACGGGCCACTTCGCTGGAGGGACGCGTGGATGTGGCATGTGGAAGTGGCACTGCCCTGAGTGCCCGGCCAGCCCCAGGTGAGCTGGGCCCCGGGCAGGAGCAGTCCCCTTCCTGCCTGCCCTGCCTGCCCTGCCTGCCCTTTGGGAGCTCGCTGGGGTGGCACAGCAGCAGCTGGCGGCCCAGGGGACCAACAGATGATGGGATGGTGCTCCTCAGTGGTGCCAGCGCTGCAGGGATCTGGGGGGACGTGGCAGCTGGTGCAGCACAGCTGTGGTGACACAAGGCCACCTCTGCTCAGCCTCAGCAGGAGCGATGCTGCCCTACCGGACGGAGAGCCCAGTCCTGCCCGGCCGCTGCCCGGTGCGGGGAGGAAGGGTTGTGCACGGGCCACAGTTCGCCTACTGCCCCAGCCCCCAAGGTAGGTGCCCCCAGCCCACCTCCTCCTCCTCCTCCTCTTCCTCCTCAGCTCTGCTTCTGGCCAGACCCTGCCCAGGCAGCGCTGGGCTCTCCTCCGCAGGGAGGTCCCTGCCAGGACAGGGCTGTAACGTGGCTGCCCTCTCTCCCCAGCCCTGCACCGGCTGCCGGGTGCCCACAGCTGCCCCTTCACGGTCAGCGCTGTGCCCTGCCCTGAGCATGGCTTCCCCTGCCCCGGCTCCCCGGGGCGCCGGCGCGAGGGCCGGGAGCGCTACGAGCTGGACGCGCTGTCCTGGCAGGGGCACCGGCTGGGCTTGGACGAGCTGCAGAGGCCAGGTGAGACCCCATGGGGGTGGGGGTCTCACAGCACCTGGGCTGGGGAACACCCCAGGGATCTGACAGAGGCACCTGGGGCACTTTGGGTGCCAGGACTGTGGGGTGCCAGGTTGGGAGGGGAGTGCTGGTGGAGAGACCCTCAATGTCCTGGGGTGACGTGGGAAGAGCTGAGGGACAATGGGACAGCTGGAACAAGGCACTCCAGGGTGGGAGGAGATGGAGGGGACCCTGGGAAAGGTGGCACAGCAAGGGACATGAGCCCTGTGCTGCCAGGAGCCATGAGAGTGGCATGAGGCTGTAGGAGCCTGGGGAGCCAGGGCCATGCCATAGCAGGAGTTTAACACTCTCTCTTGTCTTGCACAGAGCTCGGGTGCTGGGCCAGGGTCCAGTCCTTCTGTGTCTCCCTTCTAAAGGTGCCCCTGATGTTTGGGTTCCTGTACCTCTTCGTGTGCTCTCTGGACGTGCTCAGCTCTGCCTTCCAGCTGGCTGGAGGTAGTAGGGTGGCAGGGATGCCCGGGAACCTGGTGGCACTGGCAGTGCCAGCAGCCTGCGCTCACATTCCCTTACAGGTAAGGTGGCGGGGGACATCTTCAAGGACAACGCCATCCTCTCCAATCCAGTGGCTGGGCTGGTGGTGGGCATCCTGGTGACCGTGCTGGTGCAGAGCTCCTCCACCTCCACCTCCATCATCGTCAGCATGGTCTCCTCAGGGTGTGAGTGTGCCCATGAGGCTGCTGGGGACCTGAGGCTGAGGGAGAGGATGGCTGGATGGATCACCCTGAGCCAGCCTATGCAAGGCTAGCAGGTCTCTCTGTCCCCAGTGCTGGAGGTGCGCTCTGCCATCCCCATCATCATGGGCTCCAACATCGGCACCTCGGTCACCAACACCATCGTGGCCCTCATGCAGGCTGGTGATCGCAGCGAGTTCAAACGGTGAGAGCTGCGTGGCTCAGAGGACACTTCTGGGGCTGGGGGCTGCTCCTCAGGACCACCCACGCCAACGGGCTCCTTCATTCTGCACAGGGCCTTCGCTGGTGCCACGGTGCACGACTGCTTCAACTGGCTGTCCGTGCTGGTGCTGCTGCCCCTGGAGGTGGTGAGTGGGTACCTGCACCACGTCACCCGCCTGGTTGTGGCCACCTTCAACATCCGCAGCGGGAAAGATGCCCCTGACCTGCTGAAGATCATCACAGAGCCCTTCACCAAGCTCATCATCCAGGTCTCCTCAGCTGTTATGTATGCTAGTGTGGTATGCCCCAGGCTGGTGGTGATGTCCCCAGCACTGGTGTCCCTTTGATGGCAGTTGTATCCAAGTGTCCCCAGGCTGGCAGCAGTGTCCCCATGCCAGTGAAGATGTCCCCAGCCTGTGGGTGCTGTTAGCCCCCAGGTGCCCTCTCCAACACGTGTGTTGTTGCAGCTGGACAAGTCTGTGATCACGGGCATCGCGACAGGGGACGAGAGCCTGCGCAACCGGAGCCTCATCCGCGTCTGGTGTGGACCTGAAACCCCACAGGTGAGGGGCCCGTGGCCCTGCTGGGACCACCAAACACTCCCACAGACGGGTGGTGGGCAAGGACTGGTGGAGGACACTGTGGAGCCAGCTGTAGCCCACCTTCTCCCTGCAGATGGCCACTGTGGGGCTTGGGCCCCCCCCAAATTGCACGTCCCCCGGCCACTGCAGCACTAAGGGCATCGAGGTCCTTCACAACGTCACCAGGAAGAAGTGTGAGTGGGTGTGGAAGGCTTGGGCAGGGCTGGGGCACAGGGCATGGGGCTGGGGGTTGTATGTGTGATGGAGGGTGGGGCAAGGTGCAGGTGGGGCTGGGGGTTGTACGTGTGATGGAGAAGTGCTGCAGTCACGATGTGGGCCAGGGCTGGGAGGTGTTCTACTGGGCCAGGTGTGGGGCTGTCTGTGGGGGCAGGTTTGTGAGCGGGGCCAGGCCAGCCCCAGCCCCTTGTCCAGCGGTGCTGTGGGGCAGGTGAGCACCTCTTCACCGACACACCACTGCCTGACCTGGCCGTGGGGCTGGTGCTGCTGGCCGGGTCCCTTGTCGTGCTCTGCACCTGCCTCATCCTCCTGGTCAAACTCCTCAACTCCCTGCTCAAGGGGCAGGTGGCCAAAGCCATCCAGAAGGTCATCAACACTGGTGAGTAGGATGGGGACCGCATGCCACATGGCCACCCACGCCCATCTCCACCTGCCATCCTCAGACCTGTCCCTGGCTGCCCCTGACCCCCAGCCCTGACGTGGCCGTGGCCATGTCCCTGTTTGTGTCCATGCCCGTGGCCATGCCGTGGCAGACCTCCCACACCCGCTCAGCTGGCTCACCGGCTACTTCGCCATGGTGGTGGGTGCTGGGATGACCTTCGTGGTGCAGAGCAGCTCTGTCTTCACCTCGGCCATCACACCCCTGATTGGTGAGTCCCAGCCACTCCTCATCCCCTGCCGTATGCCATCCCCAGCCCTGTGGGTGCTAAAGCACTCGGAGGGACAAAAGGAGCTGTGCCTCCTTGGGAGAGCATGGGGATGGCACTGCCAGGAGTGACAGGGTGTCTCTCCCACAGGCCTGGGAGTGATCAGCATTGAGCGTGCCTACCCCCTGACCCTGGGCTCAAACATTGGCACCACCACCACTGCCATCCTGGCTGCGCTGGCCAGCCCGGGGGACAAGCTGGCCAGCTCCTTCCAGGTACAGTCAGCCTGGGGCCGTGGCTGGGCTGGATGGGGTCACGGGCCAGGGCAGGGGCTGGGGGATGCCCACGTGCCCGGCCTGATGGCGATGCCATCCTTGCAGATTGCTCTGTGCCACTTCTTCTTCAACATCTCGGGCATCCTGCTGTGGTACCCACTGCCCTTCACCCGCCTGCCCATCCGCATGGCCAAGGCGCTGGGCGAGCGCACGGCCAAGTACCGCTGGTTTGCCGTGCTCTACCTCATCATCTGCTTCCTCCTGCTGCCCTCCCTCATCTTCGGCATCTCCATGGCGGGCTGGCGGGCGCTGGTGGGGGTGGGCGCGCCCTTCCTCGGCCTCCTCTTCTTCGTGGGGCTGGTGAACGCGCTGCAGGCGCACAGCCCGGGGCGCCTGCCCAAGTGGCTGCAGACCTGGGACTTCCTCCCCGCCTGGATGCACTCGCTGCAGCCCCTGGACCGCGCCATCACCCAGGCCACGCTGTGCTGCACCGACCGCTGCCGCAGCCCCGAGGGCTGGGAGGAGCCCGAGGGCGCTCCCCGCGACAAGGCCAGGCTGGGGCTGGACAACCCTGCCCTCTCCTACCCCGAGGAGATGCCCAGCCCCACCACGCGGGTGGGTTCCCCTCGCCCGCTCCCGCACGGTGCCACACGGCTCTAGCGGGCAGTGCACAGCCGGGCTGCTGCTCCTGCAGCCGCTGGTGTCCACCGTTCCTGCTCAGCTGGTGTCTAATAAAGGGGGAGTGCTGATGTCCCTGTGCGTGTCTCTGGGTCCTCTCTCTGCAAACCCTGCTGTCACCGGTACCCCACACACCACCATTGCTCAGCCCAGCTGGTGCTGGGGACACACCAAGCACTCGGCTCGTGCTCTGGGGCACATGGTGATGATGCCACAGCTAAAACCCGAGCTCTGTAGATACCTGTACTGAGCTGTCACAGGCAGCATCTTCTTCCCCCTGCCCTGTCCCCAAAGGGCTGAGCTGGCAGGGTCCATGGTGCCCCACTGTGTGCCACAGCAGCACATCAGTGATCGAGGCACAGCACGGGACAGCCAAACAATGTCTGGGCTGCTGCAATGCTGCTGAGCTGGGATCAGCAGGATGATGACTCGGCACGGTTGGGCAGTGCCCCTGCAGCACCAGGCACCTTGGCACCTGTGGCTGGAGCCCTCCTCCCATGGTGACCCTGAAGGGACCCTTTAAGTGGCAATAAGAGCTTCTCCCACTGACCACAGATGTTTGGGTTCCTGCCAGTGATATCGGCCCACCCTTCCCTCCCTCCCTCCTTCCCTCCTTCCCTCCTTCCCGCCCGCCCTCTTCCAGACTGGGACCAGCAGAGCCAGCAGCGCGGCCGTGGGAGCCTCTCGGTGCTCCCAGCACCGCCACTGTTCTGCATGCCCAGCCAGGCAACCACTGGGCCAGGACGACCTCGCCACCAGACCGGGTCCGTGCAGGAGTGGTGGCAGCCGGGAGAACCCCCCGGGGACTCAGCGATGCTGGGACTGCGCCCGCAGCCGCTTCGGGACCGGTGAGCAGGGTGGGGGAAAGCTCCATGGGGCTTCATCTGCTTGAGGGGCCGGGCCAGCATGGAGCCAGCCAGCGCCCTTCCCAACACCTCCGGTAACGGCAGCGGCGCCGGCAGTGCCCCACATTCACCCGCAGCCACGGGGCTCATCCTGCTGGCAGCCCTGTCCGTCCTGCTGGCCACGCTGGTGGGCAACGCTCTGGTGGTGGTGGCCATCTCCACCAGCCGGGCTCTGCAAGCCCCACAGAACCTCTTCCTCGTGTCCCTGGCCTCGGCAGACATCCTGGTGGCCGTCCTCGTCCTGCCCTTCTCGCTGGCCAACGAGGTGATGGGCTACTGGTACTTTGGTGGGCTGTGGTGCAGCCTGTACCTGGCGCTGGACGTGCTGCTCTGCACCGCGTCCATCGGGCACCTCTGTGCCATCAGCCTCGACCGCTACTGGGCCGTCACACGGGCGGCGCGGCTCAACCTGCGCCGCAGCCCGCGGCGGGTGAAGGGCATGATCGGGGCGGTCTGGGCGGCGGCGGCCCTGGTGGCACTGCCACCGCTCCTGCGGCCGCGGCCGGGCGGGCGGGAGTGCCAGCTGAGCCAGGAGACCTGGTACGTGCTGGCCTCCTGCGCCGCCTCCTTCTTCGTCCCCTGCCTCGTCATGGTCGCCGTGTACTGCCGCATCTACCGCCTGACTGCCCGGAGGACGGCCGCCCTGCTCGCTGCCCGCTCCCCGCGCCCCGCCAGCGGCGATGGAAAGGTGTCGGGCGTTGGGATGCTGAGATGGCGCCGCCGGAGCCAGCACCAGAGCATGCTGCTGTGCCGCCGGCGGCTGGTGCGGGCGCGGGAGCGGCGCTTCACCGTCGTGCTGGCTGTGGTGATGGGCGCCTTCGTGCTGTGCTGGTTCCCCTTCTTCTTCACCTACAGCCTGGGGGCTCTCTGTGGGCAGGGCTGCCGTGTCTCCAAGCCCCTCTTCAACTTCTTCTTCTGGATCGGCTACTGCAACAGCAGCGTCAACCCGCTCATCTACACCCTCTTCAACCGGGACTTCCGTGCTGCCTTCCGCCGGCTCCTCGCCGTCCCCCACCGGCACCGCACTTAGGGACACATTGGGACACCAGGGACACGGCCCCCAGCCCTGCTCAGCGTTCACAGCACCTGGCCCCAGCACAGATCCTGGATGGCAGTGCCAGTGTGCAGCTCGAGGTGCTTCTGGAAATGCAGGATTGAATAAAACGAGACCAAATGCTGTGCCTGGGGCTGGTGTCTGCCTCCAGGGAGCCCAGAAAGAGGCACCAAGCGCCAGCACCTTTTGTCACCCACATCACCCCACACATGTGCCTTGTAGCAGTGGTGGTGACAACTTGCTGTGGCACCCACTCTCCAATGAATGTCTGTGTCCCCCAGCACTCTCTTGTGTAGGGGATGGACCCCATGTCTGCTGTGAGGAGACAAAACCCTCCCCGTGGCAGTGTCACCAGCACTGGGCTGAGCTGGCTGTGCCACCACAGCAGCCCTGTGCCTCTCTGTCCCCTCTGGGAACATGCCAGCTGTGCTGGGGGCTCTGTGAGGGCACACACGTACCCACGGTGGGGTACAAGGGCTGCTCAGGGACTGTACTGTGCTGCAGGAGGGAAAGGAGGAATGATATCCCAAAGCCAGAAAGGCTGTTCCCCCTTGGGAGAGTGTGAGAGATGGGATCGCATGGGAACAGGCTCCAGCACAGCCTGACGTGCAAGAGGCCACGCAGGCAGCTGTGGGGCGAAGACCCAGGGACAACCACATCCCCCTTGGGGGGCAGAAACCGCCCCACACCCCCCCTGCCTGGCTGCCTGCCTCGCTCTGCACAGACACCCAGAGGTCAGGGGCTGCTCCACTTCTTCAGCTTTGCTGCTCAAAATAGAAAATCTCAAAACATTGGACTTTCTCTGGGCTAAAAACAGCTGCTGGCGCCTGGGAGCTGGAGCTCAAGGAACACTGGCCCCTGCCAGCCCTCGCAGCCCCTGTCAGGGTGGGTGCAGCTCAGTGGGCTCTGGGGGGGCTGGATGGGGTGGGGGGCTGGATGGGGTGGGGGCACTGGCAGCAATGAGGAGCCCTGGGCCAGCACTGTGCCTGCTGGCCCCGTGTGGGGAGGCTCACGGAGTGAGCTTTGGAGTCAGCAGAGGTTCCCGGTGGGATGGGGCTGGGATGGGTGCCAGTGCTGACTCTCAGAGGGGTCTGGCCCCGGTGGCTGGAGCTGCACGGGCACTGCCCGCGGAAGGAGCTGCCCTATCTCTGCCACCCAGCTTCCCCTCCCTTCTCCTTCTACAACTAAACAACATTTTGCTTCTAAAAATACCTAGATGAGGGCAACTAGTGGGGACACGGCCAGGCCAGTTCTCCCAGGGGACACCAGCACCCCAGGGCCCCACAGTGCCCTGGCCACACACCCTGGTGCCAGCAGGGTGCCAGGCACTGTCCATCCTCCTGGGCATGAACACACAGCTCCCCTCCACAGAGCTAAAACGCAGAGTGGCAGCTCCTCCACCTGAGCTGCTGCTGGATCTGTCGGGGACATCAGGATCCTCTGGACACTGGTGCTGTCCACGAATCTTGTCAGTGATGGGAAAGGTGCTGCAGAATGCCAGGTGGGAGGAAACAGAAAACAGCAACCCAAGGGTTAATGCTGGAAATGGATGGGAGCAGAGTTATCTCATTTTAAGTTCAAAATAAACACGCTTTGGAAGGAAAGCAGCTCTAAAAGAGGAGCTCTCACACCATGAGCTCATCCCTCCAGGCAGCGACAGAGAGATTACCCCCAAGGTGTGGCAGGGCAAAGCATCCTCCTCCTGCTCCTAATCGCTGCAGATTCGTACCCTAAAGATGTGACATCTGATTTGCAGTGGATGCTGAAGAGCACAGCAGCCACAGGCAGAACTGACTGCACGCACAGCGAGTGCTTGGAGTAATTTCTGTTATTATCATCCTCAACCTGAGGACATGAACCCAAAATCTCTCCTGCCACTGACAGACACCAGGGGAGGTGTCGCCCTGATTTTGTAAGACTTTGTTAAGCCTTCTGATGTTTACATTCTTTCAACAAACTTTCCCACACACAGTTCTGTAAATAACCTGTTTTGCATTCTTTCATGGAGGTGGAGAGAATTGATGGACCCTTGGTCTGTCCAGTGGCATCGGAGAGGTGGCACTGTCACCCTCCAATCCACTGTCACCTTTGGAAAACTATAAATGTTGGAGTCAGAAAATAAAGGTTCTTCTTTTTTTGTTCCCCTCGAGAGCAGCAGTGTCTGTGTCATCATTTCGTGCCTTATCACAACAGGGAGGGACCTGCCCATCATCTGCTCCATGCCCATGCCAGCGGGAAGGAGACATCCCCCTGGATGGAGCAAGAGAACGAAGCCGTGGGAAGGCAGAGGTGACATCTGCGCTCCAAGACCGGGAGCAGCACAAAGTAGGGCACACACCACTCGGTTTAAGGAGATTTAGGAGTGGTTTTGTGGCCAGCAGAGGCAGGGAGACGGGCAGCTGACCCGAGGGGCTGACGGCTCATGGAGGGCTCTGCAGGGAAACCAGGCTTGCTGGGGATCTGGTGGGGAGATGTTCCCACAGCACAGCTCTTCTTCTGACATAACTCTGCTGTTCATTTTGGTGTAAGTTTAAAAAATGGCTTTTAGAGAGAAAACTTGGTGGAAAGAAACTGGCGGGAGATCAAACACCGTAACGGCACCGGAGCGGTCAGGGTCAGCTGCACTGGGGGATGACACAGCCCAAACCTCCACGGCAGCGGTGACCACGGAAACGGGGCACAGCACCGGAGCTTGGTCACCCACCCCCGGGACGGGACGGACCGAGACACCGGGGGAACACGCGTGGCTGCTGGACTTTATTGAGGCTGCGTGTTTGGGGAGGCTCTCCTAAACGCGAACTGGCTCTGCCAGGAGAGCACGGGACACCGCGGAGACAGCCCCGCCGAAGTCACCGGAACCGGGACATCCCCGGGACCGGGACTCCCGCTGGCCCCCGTCGTTCATTAATATCCAACCACTCGGCCCCACCCACCATAGACGAGCCTATCACAACTCGCTCGGCGGCTGAGTGGCAGCTCCACACCCAATCAGATGACGTGGGAGGCGGGGCTCCCCGTGTGGGCGTCCTTGACTCTCTGCCAATCGGTTCTCGGCTCCCTCTGAGTGACATCTCGCCCTCCAATCAGCGCCCGCCCCCTCGTCCCGGCAGCCCTTCGCCGATGGCTGCCGGATGACGTCACTACTCTGGCCCCGCCCCGCCCGCCGCACCTCGCGGGGCCAACTGGAGGGCGGTGGTGCCGCGGAGGGGGCGGGGCTTCCTGAGAGGGCGGGCCAATGGGAACACGGCGCGGGAGGAGCGAGGGCAGGCATTGGCCGGGCGGGGCGCGGGGGGCGGGGCGCGGGCGGGAGGCGGCGGCGCCCGCGGGCCCATGGAGCTGGAGAACATCGTCGCCAACACCGTCCTGCTCAAGGCCCGCGAAGGTGAGCGGCGCCGGGGCTGGCGGGGCGGCAGGCCCGGGCTGCGCGCCCCGGTGGTGCCGCCCCGGGGCTCGGCCGGGGCGGTCCCTCCCGGGGCACCGCGGCCTTGGCGGGGAGCGGGGAGGTGGCGGCGCGGGCTGGGCGCAGGCATTCGGCTCCCCGTGCCCGGTGCTGTGCTCGCTCCGGGGGTGCTGAGCTCCGTCCCGGGCGGCCTCGCTGGCTCCCCGGTGCGGCTCGCCCCGGCTGCGTCCCGCCGTGCCCGCCCCAGGGGCTGCTCCGGCTCCTCCGGCACGGGGCACGGGCAGCTTTGGGTGCCGTAGGAGGGGAAAAAAAAAAGTTGATTTCAGTCCGGTAAACTGCTGCTTCCCACACACGGGCCGATCCCGAAACTGCGGCGGGGAGCCCCACCCGTCCGCCGCCTTCACACCAGCCCCGGGCCCGTCCGCGGGGCTCCCGGGGCTCCCGGGGCTCTGCGGGCCCGCAGCGCTCCCGCTGCCCCAGGGCCACCCTGGATTCAGCCCCGTGTGGGATGCAGCCTGGCTGTGCTGAGGATGCCGGGGAGAAGCCTCGGGAGGGGATGGGAAGTCTCACGCTGGTCCTTTGCACAGAAGATCCGCTTCAGCCAGGCATCCATGAGTTCATTAAATCACAAATGTGGTGGGGAAGCACAGTCCCCGCTGCCCCGTGGGTGCAGCTGGCCAGACCGAGCCATCCTGGAGCCTGAGAGACCAGCTGAAATCCAGTTAGAGGCCTTTGGAGATTAGATTTGCGGGAGCAAAAAGCAGCGAAATTAAATTTGCACAGAAACATTTCCAAGCTGCTTGAAAACCAGGCTAAGTGTAAGTACTCCTGGCACAGTGACCGTGGTGGCCCGTGACGTTCGGGTTCATAATGGCAAGGTTTGGTTCAAAACCAAGCAGCAGGGTTTGTGACCTCCAGGCAGGAGGCCCAGCCTCGCACGGAGTGACCCGGGGACTGGCTCCAGTTGTGCCCTTGGGGAATGGAGTTTTGGCACTGATGCAGCACGAGGTGCTGGACGGCTGCTGCTCCTGGTGCTCCGCTGGTGCCTCTCCCTTGGCAGCAGCGGGCAGAAGCAGCCCGGTGTCACACTTGTGCCAGGGGGTTCTTGGGCTGTGAGAGCCACACGTGTCCATGCTGCCTGTCCGTGGCTCTCCCACCTGTGGCTGAGTGGCCGTGGTGGCCACTGGGGTAAGCTCAGACAGCTTTTGTGACAGGACAGAGCTGCTTTGCAGGACAGAACCAACAGGGCTGGGTTCTTAGCTCCAGCCCAGCCTATTTGGAGCTTCCTAGGTTGGTGTGGGAGTGCAGAGCTGAGCTGGAATATGCTATGGGGCTGCTGACCACCACCTTCAGCTGCTCCACAGCACGACCATGCCCTGTGTTTGGTCTGGCCCAGGGAAGGCGAAGGATCCTTGTCCCCCTTGCCTTGACAGAGGGACAACATCCATCCCCCAGCTCTCATCCATCACCCAGCCCTGAAGCTTGCTCCTGGTGATCTCTGGGTGGAGGCAGCCCGCCCCTTGCCCCATCCCCAAGCCAGGGGTGCTGGGAGGTTGCTGTGCAGGAGCCCAGCTCCCCGTGGGACTGTCGGCAGTGCTGGGAGGGCGGGGGAGAAGGGCGCTGGAACCTCCTTTCAAAGCAAACAACTCAAGGAAATGCAACCTCCGGGTGCTGTGGGGCTTTGCTCTGCCTTTCCTTGAGCTCTCTTGGGGTGAGGATGGCCTGTCCTCCCCTGCCCTCTTTTCGCTGCCCCCATCCGCTTCATTGTGGCTGACAAGAAGGTGTCTGCGCCGCTGGTTTCTTCCAGCCCCGCTCACCCTTGAGTCACTTCCTTCCTGAGTTTGTACAATCGTGCAGCCCAGCTGCTGCTGCGGGGCAGATGCAGTGCAGGGACCCGGGGCTGGCACTGCGAGAGGCTGAGCAGGATGGCCCCATCCCCTGGTTCTCCATGCGGGGCTTCCTGCGGTGCTGGATGCCAGGGGGCTGTGCCCAGGGTTTGGGGCTGAGCTGCATCTGCAGTGGAGGAAAGTGTTACGAGAGTGTTTCTCAAGAGCTGATAAATTGTGTTCAACCCCTGTGTGATTTCAGAAGGCCGGGCCTTGGGCCCAACTCTTGGCCCGACCGCTTTGGCAGGGTGATTTAATGAATTTCCAAAGAGAGGTGGGAAATTGTGTGTGTTGGCACTGGGAAAGCAGTCCCTGGAGGTTGGCTGATCCCAGAAATCGGTACTTAGTGCTTGCTATGATGTAAATTTTTTGGTCTATCTAGAAGCTTTCCCACCCTTTCCTACAGCACTGGGCATTTACTCCAGCAGTCGAAGCTGGAGCAATACCTGGTTCTTGGATCTGGATTTTCTGAGGCTGGCTTATCTCTGGAGAAAGGTGGGAGTGTCCCCACTTCAGAGGTGGGAAACTGAAGCGATGAGCCCCAGGCAATGTAGCGAGTTGTCTGTGGAGGCAGGATTAGAGCAGGAATTCCTGTCTCCCAGCTTCATGTCCTCCATGTGAGAGCCCCTCCCTGGAGTAAGCAATCAGTCTGGAATGAGTAGGTGGCATTACTGCAGCAGGAAGAGTTTCACACCAAGCGAGGCATGGCCTGGAGGGGTGATTAGTTATGCAGAGGTGCTGGGGACGGGCCTGAGAGCAAAGAACTGCTGTGGCTGTGGACACTCCTGTCCCTGGTGGGATTCTGCCATCATAAAGGTCTTCAGGTTCTTGCTTGGGATTTGTTCAGCAGCCAGAGGTTGGTCTGTCCATTTCCAGTCGAGGCTCCAACACTTTGGTCCCACCAGGAGATGGTGTTACCACGTCGGTCTTGTTTTCCTTGACTGGACTTAGAGGCAAGGCTAGGTGCAGTCAGACACCTTTGCTTCCTGACTCATGGTATTGATTTTGTGTGCCCTGCAGGTGGTGGAGGAAACAGGAAAGGCAAGAGCAAGAAATGGCGCCAGATGCTGCAGTTCCCCCACATCAGCCTCTGCGAGGACCTTCGGCAAACCCTGGGTGAGATGCGGGGCTTGGTGGGAGTTGTGCGCCCCAAGCTGAGTGTCAGGGACATAGAGCAGGGCAAATCCCAGCCAGGATTACTTGGAGTTCAGAGTGTAGGGAAGAAATAATGGGTAGGTAAGTGGCTGATGATGTAGCCACACACCTGCAAGGCTGTGATGAGCTTCACTTGGGGAATATCACCTTGTGTGTGCAGACAGACCTGCTCCATGCTGCAGGGTGTTGGAGTGTCACTCTGGGGTGCCTTTGCAAAAACAACAAAGGTCTGTTCTCTGTTCTCCCTGGCTGGATTCAGCTCAGCTCCACGGGCCTCAGCTTCTAACATTCAAGCAGTAGCTCTTCCCAGGCAAACTGGGTTCTTGCTGTGTGGAGTGGATGAGAACTGGCATTGAGCAGGGCTTGGCCTGTCATTTTCATTCTGTACTTTGTACTCTTCATGGTTTTAATGTTGTTTGTGCAGCAGGCTTGGTCTTGAGATCATGTGAAATTGTTTTGGGGCACAGAGGGTGCAAGTGCTTTGCTTCCTGGGAAGAGGAGAGCTTGTTTAAGTTTTCAGTCCGAATTCATTTGCCAG